ACGTCTCGCTTGAGTGAAGGCCACCAGAACTGTTGAAGGAGGCTCTTATAAGTCTTGGTAACCCCCGGATGACCAGCAGTTTTGGCGGTGTGAAATAATGTTAACAACAACAGGCGTCTCCTGGGGCGCTTGGGTTTGGTATGTCTTAATATTCTCAAGGAAGGGAGACGAAACAACCAAACGGGTAGCAGCTATGATCTGAGAAGCTGGTACAATAGGTTCAGGAGTTGGGTTAACAAATTCTAAAGGTTCATACTGTCGAGAGATAGCGTCAGCTTTGGCATTACGGCAACCAGGTCTATAGGTAATAATGTATTGGAATCGCGAAAGGAATAGAGACCATCTAGCCTGTCGGGCGGACAACCTTCTAGCATCGGCTATATAGGAGAGGTTCTTATGATCTGTTATAACCATAATTTTGTGTCTAGAACCCTCTAATAAGTACCTCCATTCCTTAAAAGCTAACACAATAGCTAATAGTTCTCTGTTCCCAACATCGTAATTCTTTTCTGGATCAGACAACCTTTTAGAAAAGAAACAACAGGGATGGAGGGGTTCGTCATACGATAACCTTTGTGACAGTACTGCTCCCACCCCCGATTCAGAAGCGTCTACTTCCATAACAAAGGGAAGAGAAGGATTAGGGTGGTGTAGTACTGGAGCAGAGGCAAATGCTTTCTTGAGAGTTTCGAAGGCTTTAAGGGCTTCAGGAGTCCAAACCCTAGGGTGTAGACCTTTTTTAGTCAGCTTTGTGATAGGGGAGATAAGTGGTGAGAAGTTTTTTATAAATTTTCTATAATAGTTAGCAAAACCTATAAAACGCTGGATAGCCTTAAGTCCTTGGGGAAGTGGCCAGGACAGTATAGCTTCCAATTTAGCAGGATCCATACTAAAACCCTGTTCAGTAATTATATATCCCAGGAATTGCACAGAGGTCTGATCGAACAGACATTTTTCTAACTTACAATAAAGTCCGTTCTGTAATAACTTTTTAAGCACCATCCTAACATGATTATGATGTGACTTCAAATCAGGAGAATATACAAGTATGTTGTCAAGGTACACCACGGCACAGACATGCAATAGATCCCTAAGGACATCATTTATGAGATCCTGAAACACAGCAGGAGCATTACACAATCCAAAAGGCATGACCAGGTATTCATAATGCCCACTACGCGTATTGAACGCTGTCTTCAACTCATCATTCTCCTTTATACGGATAAGGTTATAAGCCCCCCTGAGGTCTAATTTAGTAAAGTACTTAGAACCTTTAACGCGATCAAACAACTCAGTAATGAGGGGGATAGGGTAGGCGTTTTTAATCGTTATATTGTTTAAAGCCCTATAGTCTATACATGGCCTCAAATCGCCCTCCTTCTTTGCCACAAAAAAGAAACCAGCATCAGCAGGAGAGGAGGACCTTCTAATAAAACCTTTCCTTAAGGATTCCCGTATGTACTCCTCCATGACCTGGTTTTCTTTCTCAGAAAGAGGGTAGACCTTACCCCTAGGGGGCATAGTGCCCGGTAATAGGTTTATGGCACAGTCATAGTCACGATGCAGAGGTAGCTTATCTGCCTCCCTTTTTTCAAAAACCAATGCAAGGTCTGCATATACAGAAGGGACAGAAACAGAGAGTGGTTTAGCCGTGGGCACGTTGAGTAAACAAACAGGACGTACATGAGCCATATAATCTCGTTGACAAGATTCCCCCCAGGAGAGTATATCTAAGCAACCCCAATCGAGAACAGGGTTGTGTTTCACTAACCAGAGAAAACCCAGAACGATGGAAGCAGTAGGGGAGTCAATTATTTGGAAGGTTAACCTTTCCTTGTGCAAAACACCCACAGACATCACTATTTCTTGGGTCTCATGGGTCACCATAGGTTTCTCAAGTGGTCTACCATCTATGGCCTCAACGACCAAGGGTGTGGCCTTTTGGATCAAAGTCAAGGCTGCGGTTTTAGCAAAGTTCTCATCCATAAGGTTGTCTGCCGCACCTGAATCGATCAAGGCTTTGGTTGTTATGGTGGTTTTATTGACCAAAAGAGAAACCGTAATAAACGGTCTGGAGATGGACACATGAGGGGACAAAGTCATAACACCCGAGGCCGACCCCTCTCTAGGCCTTAGGTGCTGTAGTTTCCCTGTAACTTAGGGCAGGCATTACAGTGGTGCCCCCTCTTTCCACAATAAAGGCATAACCCCTCCCTTCTACGATATGCTCTTTCAGCCTCAGTTAGCCCCGTAGCACCCAATTGCATGGGTTCGGGGGATGGTTGACTAGGAGCGGGTAGTGCTAGTAAAGCAGTAGAGGGGGGAGCATGTAATGCCCGTGTATCCATCCGTCTTTGACTACGCCTCTCTCTAATACGGTTATCAATAAGAATGACATAATCTATGACATCATCCAGAAGAACAGGCAATTCCCTGGATGCTATTTCATCCAGTATGTAGGCGGCCAAACCCTCCTGAAAGGCTGTTACGAGGGTGTCATTATTCCAAACCACTTCAGCTGCTAGCGTGCGGAACTCGATAGTATAATCCGCTACAGATCTGTTACCCTGTCGTACCCTAAGCAGAGCTTTGCCAGCAGAGGCAACCCTACCGGGTTGATCAAACGTACGTTTGAAAGCTGTCAAGAAATCTACAAAGGACATAGGAGATGTATTCTCCCACATGGGGTTAGCCCATGCTAAAGCTTTCCCGGACAGGTGGTTTATCAAAAAGGCAATTTTGGATCTGTCAGTGGGATAGGAACGTGGATTCATCACCAAATGGATGTCAATTTGGTTGAGGAAACCACGACACAATGCTGGGTCACCGCTGTAGCGCTGTGGCGGTGTCATATGAACAACATGAGCAGGAACGGGTACCGGAGTGGGAATGGGTTCGGGCACAGCAGCAGCAGCCTCCTGGACGGCAGGTTGCAAGTGTGCAGTACGAGCCAGTATGGTTTGTAAAGCTTGGGCATACTGATCCATACGGTGGTCTAAACAATCCATTCTAGCCTCCTGATTAACTAGGAGCTGTGGTATGTCAGCAGGTTCCATTATGGCCCTGTTGTAATGTCACGATTCGGGGAACCAAACACGCCAACACACACACACAAAGTGCCGTACCGGACCTTAGAGTGGCCGGGCTAAGCATACAAAGAATAGTCAGGAAACAAGCCGAGTAAAGGGGAACCAGAAGACAGAATAACGATAGACAAGCCGAGGTCAAAGGGTTGGAGAAAGTCACAAAGTCGGATAAACAAGCCAGGGAGTACGTAACCAGAAACACAAGTTCAGTATCAATACTAGCAGGTAAAGACCACAACAAGGCGAAGAGGAACAGGAAAGGTAAGTATATAAATCCAAAGGTTAATTCTGATTGGATAATTTCCAATCAGAATTAACAATCACACTTGGGAGATATCTAAACCTCCCACTGTGATTGAGGCACTGTGCCTTTAACGCCGGGTCAGGTGACTGACCCCGGCGTTTGTTAAAATGGGCGGTCTCCCAGCGTGCAGCGTCATGCATGCTGCCGCTGGGGGACACAGAGGAAGAGGCGGACGGCACCCGTGGGAGAGAGGATGCCACCCGCCGAGCGCACGTCTGGAAGGGGACCGCAGACGGCTGGAGGGTGAGTGCCGCGAGCGGACTGCAGCCTCCCCTCGCAGCCGCCCGCGGGACCCTGACACTGGGCTGAAGAGTCCCACATCCGAGGCTCCATTCCGAAAGCCCCGTAGCAATGCCTATGGACTGTATCTATTCAAATCATATTTTCTTAGAAAGGCATCTGTTTAAAATTAACCATGTTTGGTTTATTAAAAATTATTTTTAAACATCTAGTTGAAACTGCAAATTTTAGAACTGATTGGCCAGGCACAAAAACGAACAAAGTCTTAAGAATTTTGTTAATTTTCTAGCTTAGTGGTGGTGATGGGGGGAGGCGATTCTAGAAAACAATGAGTTGTGGTGAGTTGTCAAACAGCCTAAAAAATGCAGATGAACAATTGCAGTGCTATAAAAGCAAAATCCGAACCTTGGCCAAATTGCAGAATGTTTTTCTGTATTTTTTTCCCCCCAAAATATTGCAAGTTGCTTGTAAACTACAAACATGCACTATTTAGCAAATTAATACTTAAAACTAGGCCCATAAAGATTTTATGAAGTGTCGCATTCCGTTTAATGTAATGAACTTTATTTGGGAATTCTAGAATTAAAGTATCTCCGTACAGGATGTTTTTTGTCATGGAACAAATTATCCACTAAAAACATTGTCCTTAATCATCAGGTTCTGCTGGAACATCAACGTGTGACATGTGGATAATTGCATTAAAAAAAAACTTCAAATTGTTCTGAAGCTCCCCAACTTCCTCATCCCTGAGGGAAGTATTTTGATGCATTGGGGAACTGAGAGAGACAGAAATAGATTGTGTGTATCCATTAATGCATTTGTCAATGTTTGTGTCTCGGGATCAATTAAAGGTACATTCCAAGACAGCAGGGCTTTACAAGGAAGGTTAAATGTGATAGGACCACTGCACCCAAACCATTTCATTGATATTAAGTGGTCTAGGTGACTTTAGTGAAACTTTAATGTTCAATATATATGAGGCACTGTTTAACACTCCATAACCATTAGGTGGCGCTATTAGGATATAGTAATTACAAATCCATTGCTTTTAGATTCTTCACGCTTCAATCAAAAGAATTCAAATATGAAAATAAACACTAATAGTAAATAAAGATTCGTATAAATCCATATAACTGTTCAAAAAACAATTATTTATTTTCAAATACGAAATAATATCAAATAAATTATCACGTGTACATATTACTATAATACTGCATATTTAATTAGGGTTGAAAACTGGTTTAATAAAATGGCTAAAGGCTAAACTCCTAGTAATTTTTGGATCATGGGATGTTGTTTAGTGGCAACAATGACTAGACAAAGGGAACAAAGGTAAATATTTGCAGTGACAGAGATTTGCTAATACAGCTGGCATAATTTGCAGTACACTGCAACTCTTTTTATTCACAGTGTATTTGTAGATGTATCAATTCTTTTTGCAGTCATGGGTAAAATATCTGTAAAAGTAGATAAAAGATTAATTAATTCAAATTGTGAAGGATAGCATAAAATCTAGCCTAATAAAAGTTAGTGAGGCGAACATAGAGTCCATTTGGGTTAAGTTAGAATTTGGTAATCACACAGTAACTCGTGTAGGTATGATTTACAGGCATCCTGGACAAATAGAAGAGTTAGATAATCTACTAGTTGAGGAAATAGCTAAAATGACAATGAAGGGGGAAGTTATCATCATGGGTGACTTTAATCTTCCTGATGTTAACTGGAAATCCAAAATAGCTGCTTGTGCCAGGAGCAGACATATTCTAAACTCCCTATTGGGATTGTCTCTAAAACAAGTCGTTGAGAAACCAACTCGTAAGGAGGTCATATTAGGTTTAGTGTTAACAAATGGGGATTTGGTATCAGATATTACTGTAGGTGAAAGTTTAGGATCCAGTGATCATCAGTCAGTGTGGTTTAATATAAGAACAGTTACACAGTCACACAACACAAAAACAAAAGTTTTAGACTTTAGAAAAACAGACCTTTCTAAAATTAGAATATGCGTAAAGGAGTCCTTGTCAGACTGGAGCAGTTTAAATGGAGTCTAGGAGAAATGGGATTATTTAAAAGTTGAGCTGCTGAAGGAAACAGAAAATTGCATTAGGCTTGTCAGTAAAAGCATAAGATTGAAGAAACCACTGTGGTACTCTGCAGATGTGGCCAAAATAGTAAAAAACAAAAAGTTGGCATTTAGCAATTATAAAAAAAAACAGAGTGAGGAAGACAGACAGATCTATAAGATTAGGCAGAAAGAGGCTAAGCAAGTTATAAGAGCCTCCAAAGCACACACAGAAGAGAAAATAGCACAGTCAGTAAAAAAGGGGGATAAAACATTTTTTTTAGATACATAAATGAGAAAAGGAAAGTAAAACAAGGATTAGTTAGATTAAAAACAAAAGAAGGAATGTATCTAGAAGAGTATAAAGGTCTAGCTGATTGCCTCAATTAATATTTTTGTTCAGTATTTACAGATGAAAATGAAGGAAAGGGGTCTCAGTTAGGAAAAATGACAAATGAGTCATTTATTACACGCGAGTTTACAGAGGAAGAGGTTCTATTTCAACTGTCAAAAGTAAATAAAAATAAGTTGATGGGGCCTGATGTGAAACACCCAAAGTTATTAAAAGAACTTAGTGGTGTACTAGCAAAACCATTAATGGATTTATTTAACCAATCATTTTTAACAGGAGTAGTCCCAGAATATTGGAAATTAGCAAATGTTGTACCCATTCACAAGAAAAGTAGTAGGGAAGAGTTAGGCAACTATAGGCCAGTAAGCCTTACTTCAGTAGTGGGGAAAGTGATGGAAACCATGTTAAAGGATAGGATTGTTGAACATTTAAAATCACATGGATTTCAAGATCAGAGACAACATGGGTTTACTTCAGGGAGATCATGTCAAACTAATCTTATTGATTTTTTTGATTGGGTAACTAAAATAATAGATCAGGGTGGTGCAGTAGACATTGCTTACCTAGATTTCAGTAAGGCTTTTGGCACTGTTGCACATAGAAGGCTTATCAATAAACTGCAATCTTTAAGTTTGGATTCCAATATTGTTGAATGGGTTAGGCAGTGGCTAAATGACAGGCAACAGAGGGTTGTAGTCAACGGAGTATATTCAAAGCAAGGTCTAGTTACCAGTGGGGTACCTCAGGGATCTGTACTTGGACCCATTCTTTTTAATATTTGTATTAGTTATATTGCAGAAGGACTTGATGGTAAGGTATGTCTTTTTGCTGATGATACTAAAATTTGCAACAGGGTTTATGTTCCAGGAGGGATAAGTCAAATGGCAAATGATTTAGAAAAAATAGAAAAATGGTCAGAGCTGTGGCAACTGACATTTAATATGGATAAGTGCAAGATAATGCACCTTGGACATAAAAACCCAAGGGCAGAGTATAGGATATTTGATACCCTACTAACCTCAACATCTGAGGAAAGGGATTTAGGGGTAGATATTTCAGATTACTTAAAGGTAGGCAGACAATGTAATAGGGCAGCAGGAAATGCTAGCAGAATGCTTGGTTGTATAGGGAGAGGTATTAGCAGTAGAAAGAGGGAAGTGCTAATGCCATTGCACAGAACACTGGTGAGACCTCACTTGGAGTATTGTACGCAGTACTGGAGACCATATCTTCAGAAGAGAGTTCAGAGAAGGGCTACTAAACTGGTTCATGGATTGCAGGATAAAACATACAAGGAAAGGTTAAAGGATCTTAACATGTTTAGCTTGAAGGAAAGACGAGACAGGGGGTATATGATAGAAACATTTAAATATATAAAGGGAATCAACACAGTAAAGGAGGAGACTATATTTAAAAGAAGAAAAACTACCACAACAAGAGGACATAGTCTTAAATTAGAGGGGTAAAGGTTTAAAAACAATATCAGGAAGTATTACTTTACTGAGAGGGTAGTGGATGCATGTAATAGACTTCCAGCTGAAGTGATAGAGGTTTAAGCATGCGTGGGATAGGCATAAGGCTATTCTAGACACAAGATAAGGCCAGGGACTAATTAAAAGTATTTTGAAATATTGGGCAGACTAGATGGGCCGAATCGTACTTATCTGCCGTCACTTTCGCTGTTTCTATAAAAAGATTTTAAAACAAATTCTAAAAATGACAATAAAATTTAAAAAAACAATACCCATAAACATAGAAAAGAAAAGAAAATATGATTAGTGGAGTAAGAAATAATCAGCATATTTCTATTGATAAGACTTTTTTTGGATTCCAGCAATCAGATATTAAATATCTTGGGCTACAAGCAGTACTATAGTAGTAACTGGGAATACAATATAAACTAAGAAGGCATATTGTTGCATTTACTAAAGCAATGTATTGTTGTATCATAATGAAATAAAAAAAAATACAAAATATCTAGGATGGAAACCCAGCTGCATTGGAGAATGATTACTCTGATGTAGTGGCATGAGGAGCAAGAAATGCGTTGGCATCATCTGCTCAGTGTTCCCCAATTCTCTTGTGTCAGCCAAAGCTGGAAGAAATAACGGTATTTTCCTATATGAGATGCCTTTTCTTTCATGAAGCCCTGCTCTTTCCTACATGCCAATAACGCTACATTTGCTGTCCATGTCCATGCCAGTTAGAGGTCGACAGGTCTATGGCCAGAACTAGTGGATCACAGATATTCCTTCAGCAAAAAGAAAGCATGAGAAAATATGAGAATGACTGATATCACGTGTTTCAGGGCCAGACTGGGAATTAAAAGCAGCCCTGCAAGAAAATTATTTACCAACCCTATTATACATAACACCAGCATAGTGTGTAAATATATACAGGTGGAAAAGATAACTTAAAATTGAAAATAATTTCTTAAACATGAAGGAAAGCACTAATAGGGCCTTAAAATAAATAAATAACGGCTTCATTTTAAGCAGACATCCATTAATGTATAGTCAATGTTTCAGTCCTATGACCTTGATATATTAGGAAAGGTTTTGTAATGGGATTAAAATAGTGACTCTAGGCTATTGCACAGCTGCAAAACTTGAAGTTGTCTTGTTTATTTTGAAGTCCTATGACTTTCACGTTTTTAATATGTTATTGTGCTGGAGTGTGCACCTAACAACAAGATTGGGCTACTAAGTACTCATTACATAAATGTTATGTATTGGTGTGATTTCTGAGTGTATTATATATATACATATATATATATATACTTAAATATATGTGCAAATATACATATCTTAATAATACACACATCGTAATATACTTATATATGTATATATACTTATATATGTATATAATAATGTAAATTATCTGTACAGAAATTGAAAATTATATGTGTACTTGTGTCACAATCTCTTACCTTGTTCCAACGCGCCCACGTGGTGCAGGATCCATGGCAGACTCCTCTCCCAACGAGTTCGGCATGTCCCACGCCAGACCCTGGAGTCAAGCCCCTTTTTATGATGTTGCGCCGACGTCATGATGTCAATGACGGGGTTCCGCGTCATCAATACCAGCCCAGAACGTTTTGGGGGCGTCGTCTAAAGCAAAAAAAAGCTCCCTTATAAAAAGGGCACCTTTAGCTTTGTTCCTTGCCCTATTGTGGTTCCTTGTGTTTCCCCTAGTGCTATTTGGTTCTCCTTGCGTATTTATTGTTATTTCTGTGTACTGGCTCGGTTTGGCTTTTGACCTCCTGATTTCTGGTGTCCTGACCCGATTATTCTTGTATCGCTCTCCTGATTTCTGGTATCCTGACTTTTGGCAATCCTTTGACTACTCTTTTCTACCTACGTTAAACCCAACCATTCTGAGGTTCAGTAATACTTGTTCGGGTTTTCTGTGGGTTTACATACTGCGTGTTGGGTTATCACACAACAGTGATAACTTGCTAGCAGAATTCCTAGTAAATGTATAGATTTGGATAAAAAACTACTTGAAGAGAGCCACCTGTCAAGCCACTCTTCGGCATAGACTCCTGTGCTGAAGAATTGAATTAGAGAGTGCAGGAGAGACTCCCTACAGGCAGTTGTCATGCTATCCAAGAATATCAAACACAACGCATGAGCTTTGGCTACTATGGATCCTCGTGATGCGCTCTGCAGAAGCTGTAAACCAATTCAGTCACCATTCATTGGCTTAGAGCATCATTGGCTTAGAGCATCAGATGACCATTCTCAGCCAATGAATGGCACACTGTGCATGAAACTTTGCACAGAATTACCAATCCCAGCAGCAAAAGGGTTAACTATGTGCAGCTCAGACACACTTTCACTTACATACACACATAATGTCACTTACACTCCCTTACACCAGTTTACACATAGTCACAATTTAATTACCTAACCACACACTCACACCAACATACACAGACAAATAACAGTTCAGTTGGAGCCAATTGTTGCTGAAAGGGTCCATATCTGTAAAGGGGTTTGCCAAGGTATACTCATGTCCCTGGTGTCTAGAGGGAGCAGGAGAGCATTGCAGTGTATTTCTCACGTATACATCTGCTTATAAAAATGTGATTAATGGAATTTACTGTTCAGACAGGAAAAGTTGTGCCGAACAACATTACTGTCCTGACAGGAAAAGTTGTGCCGAGCAGCAATCAAATCCACAGCAGGGTTTGTGCTGAGCAGCAATTATGCAACTGGAAACCTGGTAATTGCCTTTGGGGTCAAAGGCCGGTTACAACCAATTGGATCCACAGGTGGGGTATTTAGGCCCAGTTCTCATCCTGCTCATTGCCCTGTTGTGGTTTCCCTTGTGGTTGTCCGAGAGCGCATTATTGATTCTGGTAATTCTGGTTATTTGACTTTGTCATTGTTTTTGACTTCCCTGTTTTCTTGCATTCCTGACCCCTGGCTTTTCCTTATCGTTGTGTCTCTTTCTGTTTCCCTTGACCTCGGCTATTCCTGACTATTCTTTGGTACGTTAGTCCGGCCATTCTAAGGTCCGGTATACGTTACCTATCAGTCCTCTGTGTTACACAATTCTACGTGCTGGATCATTCTGTAATCCTGACAGTGTTAAACAGGCTCCTTTATGCTCTTCTTGGAGGTCTTCCTGTTAACTGTCAGGGTGCAGCTGGGTCCTGGAATGCCGTGCCTGCAACACGATGTGATTTGTTGCAGGCAACGTACTAGGCTACATGACAGTAACCTCATGCACTGAGCAGCTGAGCACTGAGTAAGAGGAACACAGTGGGGAGGCTGAGGAGCCACTCACCTAGTGCAGTAAAACTACACCTGCCCAAGACAAGAGAGGCCTACCAGAATATTTACCAATATCCCTCCAAAATGCTGGCAGTGAAGGCATCCTAACAGAGGATTGCCCTGGAAGGGTCTCTAACCAGGGTCAATCTCTGCTCAAAGTCAACAGGACCAGACAGTGGGAGTTGAAATAGTGTGAACACTTACAAACCTTGAGAGAGAGTCAGCAGGTAAATTAAGTTAGTGAATGATAATCTATATACTTTTGCACTTGGACCTGTTTTACATTTCGCTGAACATGGCATGACAATGTTTTAAATTAAGTCAACCATATGTATTTACTGAATGTGGGTAGGATGG